AAAAAAAATAAATTAATATAAGTCAAATAAGGTTAAATAAAACAGACAGCAATAAAGGTGGAAAAAGGGTGATGGAGAGGATGACAAAAAGGATGGTAAAAGGGAGGCCAAGATCTTAATGTTCCATGAAAGCCTGATGGAAGAGCAAAGTCTTCAGTACAGTATTCATTTAAACCCATCCAGCAAGGGTGTCAGGCGGATCTCAATGGGTAGGTTGTTCCATAGATGGGGGCAACAGCTGAGACGGCCCAGTTTCTTGTTCTTTCCCTCTGGGCCTCCTTTGGAGTCAAGACCCTCAACTGTCCTGCCTGTGAACGGGTATTGTGGACAGATCTGCCTGGGAGCAGGTGTTATGATAGGTGCTGAGGTCCTAAATTGTTTAAGGCTTTGAATGTTATCATAATCTTGAAGTTGATGCAGAAATGAACCGGTAGCCAATGAAGGGTGGCCAGAGTGGGGGAGATGTGCTGAAATTTCTTCACCCCAGTTATTACGCCAAATTTTGGACCAGTTGAAGTCTCTGCATCAGCCTCAAGGTTAGCCACACATAGAGCACAGCAGTAGTCTATTCTTGAGATTATGAGGGCATGAATCAGCTTTGTGAGTGCCCCCACATCTAGATAGGAATGCAGCTGGGCAATCCTCTGAAGATGGAAATGGGCTGCCCGGACCACAGATGCCACCTGGGTTTTCATGGTGAGATCTGGGTCCAGGCAGATGCCCAAGCTGTGAACCTCACTCTTCGTGGGAAGAGTCACTCCCCCGAAGGAGAGAGAATTCCCCAACCCACTGTCTCCAGGACCGCCCACGTGCAAGATCTCCATCTTGTCTGGATTCACCCACAGTCCATTTGCCCTTATCAACTCCAGAACGATCCCCAAGCAGTGTTCAAGGGTCAGAACACCATTCACTGCAGTTGGAAGAAAGGAGAGATAGAGCTGGATATCAGGGTACTGATGACACCGGGCCCCACAACTCCAGATAACCTCACCCAGCGGCCTCATATTAAATAACATTAATGAGATGATTGACCCCTGCGGAACCCCACAATTGAGGATCCACAGGATAGAAGTCACCTTGCCAAGCTCAAGTTTACTAGTAGGCATCTTAATTCTGAATAAATATGCACTGGTTTATACTGCACAAGACTAGATCTACTGAGGTATTAACTTCATCATTTGCATCAGGTAACATGGACTCCAGCCTAGTGATAAGGAACTTATGGGTCTCCACTACTACCTCATCTATTAGGTTTACAGGAGGGACCAGCTCAACAACATCTGGAAGGCCTCCACATGGTTCCTCAAGGTTATAGCGCAAGACAGCTTACAGCACAATTATGATGTCCTATATATAGCCAAAGCGTAGTACTGCATCCCATTTTGATGTAGTAATCTTCATTGAGCATGTGTCCCAGCATTCTAATACATCTACATTTGAAATGTACACGATAATAAGAGACTTTTATTCCTTTATAATATGCCACAATTCTGGGCCCTAGCGCGACGCATACAGGAGCAGGAGCCAGCAGTAACAGTAAGGAGGTTTATTTTGAAGCAGAAATCCTCCTTTAGTGTAAACGGAATTTACTCCTCTCCCTAGTAGGTGCAAAGCGGATCGCCAGCTGAACTTCAACTCTTTTAACAGTCATCCGTAGCTGCTGGCGCTCAGATGAACACGCGTCCGCTCCCCAGCTCGTGAAGCCTACGGAAGCCGAACGTCGGAAGCCCAACCCACATCGTCTCCCTTTCGGGGCGGGCTTCCCTAGCAGCGACCGCCGGCAGCGGCGTCCTTGGAGCCCTCGCGGGTGCTCCGCCTCTCCTTTCCACCTCCGGCCGGGGCGGCGTGGCCCGTGGGGCAGGAGCAGCATGGGGGACGCCTTGGATGAACCTTGGTGGGAAGCACGTGAAGGGACACGCGAGAGCAGCCCAGGTACCGGAATGGGGTTTCGGACGGGGGGGGGGGGAAACGAGGGGCTCCGGCTGCTGGCTGGCGAGCTTTAAAAGAAGCAAGCAAAGTCCGTGTTGATTCCCTTTCCCCCTCGCCCCCGTTCCTCTGTCTTCGAAGTTCCCCCTCCCAGAACACATCCGATTTGGGCTGAACCTTCCTGCATTCATCTCCCTTCTGCTAGCTCTTTCTGTTGTTCATTTTCAGCTTATTTGACACCTGTTTCCGTTTTTATTCACAGCGTATTTAGATAGGAAAAAGAAGTCAAACTTTAGCTCCTAAACCGGCCTCTGCTTCGTTGTAGCCTACTTGTAACTGTTTCCTGAGCTGTGGAACATTGAGAAGTGACACCAAACCCCGTTCATCCTTTAATTTCAGAAAAAGAGTAGAAAAACATATTAGCGTATTTTATTTCCTAATAGCATTTTTTAATTTTGAGGAAAGGAGAGCGGATACTTGTGGGGTTTTTTTTTTTTGCCAGCCTGCATAAGGAAAGAGTTCAGAATGCTGCTGAAATTTTATCTTCAGAGAAGTGAGATTTCTTACAGGCTGTGAACAGGTGGTACAGTTCTTTTCAGACTCTGAAAAGTAAACAGATAACTTAGCAAAGACTGAAACAGGACCCAGTTTCCCTTGATGCTGAAGGAGGCAACAGGGCAAGATGCTGAAAGTGAGGCATAGGAAACCGTATGGAGAAAATTATTTCCAGAAACCTGTTAGAAGAATATAAGTTCTGGGATCAGACCCTGATGTGTCAGAGAAACTCTATGTAGCCATCATATGGTTTGTTACTACTCCTACTTCTTCTGTATCTTTCCTCCATGGAGCTGAGGATACAATCGTTCTCTTTCTACTCCTCTTATGCTCACAACAACTGGGTAGGTAGGTAGGATGAGAAAGTGTGTCTGGCCAAAGGTGACGGAGTGAATGCTCCAAAACTCGGGACAGAATGGAGGTTTGAGCCCACATCTTCCCAGTTTTAGTCCGATTCTATAATTTACAATTGGGGTAGCTCCATAGGCAATTGCATTATGCACAGCCTGGAAGGACAGAAATATACTTGTAGGAAGTCTGAGGGCAGTAAAAATGCTAACTTGAGCTTTTCCACTTGGTTAAATTGTATAGAATTGTGAGTTGTTCTGTGTAAAAGTGATTAATTTTTTTGCTGAAAACACTGAATTTTCAGTAACTAGTCATTGAAAGAAAAATACATCATAATTTTGTCCAGGTTTAAAGATGTTTACCACATACTTAATGGTATTTACCACATATGAATGGAGTTCCAAACAATGTCCAAAAGTTAAAAAAACAACAGTAAGGGCCCTTAGTGTGTGTTAAAAAAGTAGCAGCATTCATATTAAATACAACACCACTACAATGCTTGCTACTGATGTATGGTAACAAGGGTAAAATCACAATATGGAGTACATTCATTAAACAGCTCTTTAAAGATAACCGATCAATGGAGTTTATTACACAAGACGTTGATTGGACCAGAAATACAAACATCTGTCCTATAGTATTACCAATAGAAAAACAGTGAAGCTCCTGGACTAGGTGACATTGGTTACATAAGTTGCAAAGTAGTTAGAAGATTATGACTTAGATGTTTTACTAAATCTTTAAAATCAGATCTATAGAATATATGTTATTACTGAAGCTTGGATAAGATCAACCATTATTACATTACTCAATAAAGGAAGCGACAAACCTTTGGTCAAGGTTTTCATAAAAACACTACATGGTAGAATTTCTGCAAAGACCTATCGCCAATATCCATTTTATGGGCGGGGTGATAGAGAGCATGGTGGAGGATCAGTTCCAGTTGTACCTGGAGGAGGAACATCACCTTGATCTATTCCAGTTTCGATTCAGGCTGCTTCACAGACTTGAGACAGCTCTGGTCATGCTGCACGATGACCTGTTAAGTCATCTTTCAGTCATTGATTATATGGAAGACTTTGAAAAATAAAGTGATGTTGGTAAACAGTTTTGGTAAAGGTTCATGTAATTGGCAGACTCTACTGCCAATTAACGATAAGGTTATAGAGAATATTTGTGTATTCAAGGGTGCATACTCTCATTGGTCTAGTTGTTATATGTTGGTCAAGTTGCTTCTGCCTCATAATAGTAATCATATGAACCAGGTGATGTCTAGAAGGCCCAGACATTAGTAGCCCTGGTCAGATATTATAAACTCAAGGCTGTGGCTTTATTTAGTCAATCTGTCACCTATTCAGTCTTCCTCTTTTCCTGCCACCTTCAGGAGACTGATGATTCTTACAACTGATCATTTAAGATAAAAATGAATGGAAAAACATAATAATGTGTGAAAAAACCTTTAAGATTTGTTGGCCACAACACAACATCATTGTTTAAAAGTGCTGTGTCCAAAATTGGAATACCCATGGTGACACCCAATCTTTGCTGGAGAGAAAAGACCACGTACGTATCTACATTTGGGTTATCTCTCATTGACATGGCAATGCAATATGTGAATGGTTTGGATGTGTAGTACTTTAGCTGTCAGTGCTTCACCCAGTGGCATGCATCCCATCTGCTTCATATCTTGCTCTACACATGAGTGTGTGTTTCTAGGTAACAAGAAACCACTTTAAAAGTGGAGAGTGTCAGAATACTTCCAGAATTATAAAAGCTTCATAGAATAATTGAGTTGGAAGGGGCAGGAAAGGAGAGCGGATACTTGTGGGGTTTTTTTTTTTTGCCAGCCTGCATAAGGAAAGAGTTCAGAATGCTGCTGAAATTTTATCTTCAGAGAAGTGAGATTTCTTACAGGCTGTGAACAGGTGGTACAGTTCTTTTCAGACTCTGAAAAGTAAACAGATAACTTAGCAAAGACTGAAACAGGACCCAGTTTCCCTTGATGCTGAAGGAGGCAACAGGGCAAGATGCTGAAAGTGAGGCATAGGAAACCGTATGGAGAAAATTATTTCCAGAAACCTGTTAGAAGAATATAAGTTCTGGGATCAGACCCTGATGTGTCAGAGAAACTCTATGTAGCCATCATATGGTTTGTTACTACTTCAAGAGGTTTTTCCTGATATTCAGTGTAAATCTAGCTTCCTGTAGGTTGAGCCCATTATTATGTGTCCTGCACTCTGGGATGATAGAGAACAGATCTTGCTGCTTCTCTGTATGACAGTCTTTCAAATATTTGAAAAGTGCTATCATATTACCCCCCTGTATTCTTTTCTCAAGGCTAAACATGCCCAGTTCTTTCAGTCTTTCCTCCAAGGGCTTGGTTTAGCCCTTCCAGTCCCCTGATCATCCTTGTTGCCCTCTACTGAGATTATTCCAGTTTGTTGCCATCCTTCTTAAAGTGTGGTGTCTAGAACTGCACCTAACAAATGCTGAATAGACAGGAACTAGTACTTCACAAGATTTGGAGACTATACTTCTGTGACTACATCCAAAAACAGCATTGACTCTTTTTTTGCAGCCACATCACACTGTTGGCTCATGTTCAGCAAATTTTCTACAATAATTCGAAACCTTCTCATTCTTCTCAAGTAGCCCCCATTTTGTTACTCTTTGTTTGTTTGTTTTTGCCCTAGGTGTATAACTTTATACTTATCCCTGTTAAATTTTGTTCTGTTGTTTTCAGTCCAGTGCTCAAGCCTATCAATATCTTTTTGAACATTTTCCTGGTGTTTTCCAAGATACTAGGTATTCCACCCAGTTTTGTGTCATCTGCAAATTGGATAAGTATTCCCTGAACACCCTCATCCATTTCATTAATGCAGAACTTGAAGAGCACTGGGCCAAGGACTGAGCCTTATTTATTAATTTAATTGAATTTATTCAGTTTGTATCCCACTCCCATTAGTGTCACAGCACTACTCTGGGTGGGTTACAACTTGTAAAATAGAAAACAAAAATAGAAATAGTAATATTTAAACCAATACCGGTAGCAATAACCCTAAAAAAAAGAGATGGCACTGACTAATCCCAGAGCGGATGGAGCCTTCCTCACAGAATTCTTGGAACTGTCATTTGATTGAGGGTACTGAGCAGGCCTTGATACAGATTTTTGCCAATCCACTTTCCAGGAGAGAATATGGCTATTCATCCAGTTGCACTATGTCAGTTACAGTATGTCCAGAGAATGCTGTTTCTTTGCAGTGCAAAGGCTGCCCTCTAGTGTCCTTTGGGCATAAAGCCTTTGTGGTTAAGTGTGTTACACTAGTGTACTTTAGTTACTTTAGTTACTACCATCTGTGGTGTTTGGGATATTCTGGATGTTTGTTTGGCTTTAAGAATACTTTCCCTCTCTTTAGTTATTACTAGAGATTAATAAGCTTTTTTTTAACTTCATTCTTCAAAAGGGTTAACTTGTACTTTGTCTAATTTGCATCTCAACTGAGTTCATTTACGCCTGGTTCTATTGAGGCAGCAGTTCTAGCAGCATAGTCCTGATCATACCATCGCAGTCTGCTGTGAAATGACCAGCACTATCTCAGGCATGAACATCTTTAGGGAAATGAGTTTTCATGGATCCTAACTGCCTTGTTGGAATTTCAGCACCTAAAGCAAATATGTGTATCTCGTGGATGCTTGTTTGCAAAGAAGCTGCTACTAGGATAGCAGTCTTAATCAAAGCTTCATCTTTCTGTGAGAGCATGCTGATGAGTTTGGATTTTTTTCAAAAAAAGAAGCTGTGCAGGTTGGCTGCATTACAGAGGGCTGGCACTAAGATTAATCTATTCTACGTTATGTGTAAATTCTATAGAACTTGTAGTTTTTGTTTAGTGGATCTGTACTTATTGGAAAGGGTACAGGTGTATTTTGTCACTTGTCTCTACCTGTGTCAGAATGAGAATAATTTGTATCATATTTAGAAGTAGTGTCTGCCTCTTTCGAGAGACCTTTTTTTCTTTTCTTGAAATGCATTCCTTTTGGTAGTCACTGTTTTCGAGGACTTGGTTATGATGCTGGGAACCAAAATAATTTATGATCTAGTTGCACTCCCCCTTGCTTCATTTTACTGCATACACCTCTCACTGAATATTTATACCTTAATTCCCCCCCGCCTTGTCCTTTGGGTAACACCTTAGGAATGTTGTTCAATTATTGGTAGCATTTCACATATAAATTCTAGAAGATTTTACTTCATAATGTAATAGAGGAAAGTGTTGATTGTCAGGCTTTATATATTGAATTGTTTTGCTTTCATAAGAAATATCTACTTTTAAAAAATTCCTCAGTCAGTTTGACACATAATATACATAGGAATAATAAAAAAAGACACCTCAGCTGTTAAAAGGCATGGGCCCTTTCAGGTACTGTATGTCTTCTGTGAACAGAAATTCACTTCTGTCATGTTTTCCATGTGTAAAATTTCTTTTCTTTTTGGTGATGATCCTGTGTATGACCTTATGAGGTGGCATGGTGACTCATAGGCCCTTCATGTTTTTTCAGCAGCACAGGACTGCTGTCCCTTCCTTTCTATCAGGTGAGAATATTCATGGATCTACCAAAGTGTTTGACATTTCCACAGATGCAAACCTCTATGCTTCCTTATCTTTTAGCCTCAAAGCTCTACAGACCCTTTAAAGCTAGAAGGACGATTCAGATGTTAACTATTGAAAATGTTAAGAAGGCTCAAAGGGAGGGGAAACCATGGGACGTATCCCTACCCAAAAGTCCCTTTCATATGATGAATGTAATGATATACAACATTGCTCGTAAGTATACTATACTGATGGAGCTCTCAGCACCAGGAACCCGGGTAAGAAGGAATCATGAAGGTAATTGCCGTAGTGCCTCATGCATTGGCAAAATACAGCACTGTGGTGTCTGTCAGTCCAACTTTAAAAAAAAATGTTGGGAAAGACTTTTATGAGACTAATGTGGAAGCATAATCAGAAAAGTCAGAGGGGATAGGCAGTTTCAGGCCATTTGCCAATAACTGCTGCTCCCCTAGGGAATCTCATTTCTCTTTTTCTAGCCGCTCATTTGCAGTATTTTCCTATATCTTTGTCAAGTTTTAGCATGCTATTTATCTGAATAGCACCTCTTCTGTCTCATAAACATGCAAGCTTTTTTTTTTTTAAAAAAAATGCCATAGGCATTCCTATGCATCTCTTCTTATGTATTTGGCCAGTTTCTCGGGTCCAAAGAGAAGACATTGTAGAATTGTAGTATTGTCTGTACTAACTGATCTCTCCATCTGTGCTAAAGGAGAAATTCTATTAACATGTAGCTTGATGCAAACAAGGAACCTGCATAGATGAAACAAATGACTGAAAACTGTTCACAAGCATGTCCCGATGCGTTATCATTCCACTGTCAAAGCTACTATTTTCTGCCAGTGTGTGATGTTTTTATGTTGTCTGATTCTTCTGTAGCTCCTGAGGAAAATGTAGCGTATCTGTATTGTTCAATACTTAGACATCAGTCTATCTTTTCCCACCATTAGGAATGGCAACATCGGGAATGATTTTGACGATGTTTGTGTATCTATATTGTTCAATACTTAGACATCAGACAGTCTATCTTTTCCCACCATTAGGAATGACAACATCGGGAATGATTTTGACGATGTTTGACTGGCCATCTTTACTGTCTAGAACTGGTGTCTTGAGTTGTCCATTGGGTCCTTTCTCTGGAACTGTGGTTGGTTTAGGGATCCGAGGAGGAATTGCTTGTCGGAAGACATCCGCAATCTGGGATAAATAAATTGAAGTGAAATGGAGGGCAGAAATAGTTAATGTTGTAATTTGCACAGTTCTTTAGTAATTTGAAAACTATCCTAAAATAGTACTTCTAAAGATTGGCAGTGTAATGCTTCTGAAAAAAAAGAGGAAGAAAAAGAAAAAAAATGCAATCACCCCATGCATAGTTTTTAGTATATTACATTTCAGTTAAATATTCAGTATTGTTAAAAGGCCACTAGCATAAAAACTTTTTAAAAAATGAAAAGGATTTTTGAGTGCATCACCCCACATCATTTTTAATCTAAATTCAATTTTTAGTTCAGATCAAGTACAATTTTTGCTTAAAGCAGCATTTTTGCTTTTTCTTTCTAACAGATATCTGCACACATGTAAACAGACATACACAATAATTGTCTTGTAAACACCTAATGTTATGCAAACAGCCTGTGTGGATTGTCTTGTGTATCAGTGTAGTCCACTTTTCAATTGGAAAATGTGATGCTAACTACTTTAACACACTGGTTTCCTTCACTAATTGTATGTTAGATTTAGGCCAAACATAAATCAGTAAATGAATTAGAGAATAAGAATTCAAAAGAATTTTAGCTGGCTACTTCTTGTCCCTAGATGGCACCAAAGTTAAGTTGTTCCTAAAATCTGGCTTTTTTTCAGACTTTGAAACAAGCTTTTAAAAATGTGTCCTTGACTGAATTATGAACTTACAGTTTTTAGAGCCTATTACAGAGGATAATTGTGAACTAAACATGCAGCCAGGAAACTTTTTTTCTTTTTTAGAAAAAAAGTTCAAAAATACATGGTTAAAGACAAGAACAGAGTAAAGTATTGATTTTTTATTGTACCCACAGAGTTTCTGATGGGACCAGGGTAGAAGGTCTTTTACGTTTTGTGAGCTTTTAAGAAGGGAAAGAACACTGATCTTGCACAAGATAAGAAATAGATAATTCATGTCTAGTTATAGAAAGATCAAAACTAAATATACTATCAGCTGAAAACAGCAATAAGATGTGGCTATATTTATTTTATTATAAAGAAGAGCATGATCTGCCTTATGTGATACTGGTTTCTTACAGTTTCCTTCCGGATCTGTGCTGGTCGCCGGATCAGCGTTATATTAATTGTACTCCAGCCCTTTTAAGTTGGTGGGGAGCCATCTTTTCCCCACTTTCAGAGTTTGCAATGAAGCACAAAGGTTGAATTGTTGTAGGTCAAAACTGACACTTTGAATTGTGCCCTGAAAGAATCAGAAGTCCATAGAATTTTCTCACTAAGTTTGTGGGTTTCTAAAACTATGTTCTACACCAGATGCAGCTTTCTTTAGATAACATCATAATCTGCTGGAGAGGAGAAACTGACAATTCCAAAATATAGACTGTTATGGCAACGCTGACATGAAAACACAAGTGCCTAGATTATGCTGGCTATTGTATATTGGATTACTGCGCACACCTCTCTGGATGTTGGGCAATTTTACCAGTGCTGTCATGTTTGTCTTGTTGAAGCCACAGTGTTTTATGTTGTATCTATGTGTGTTACAGGCCCAGCGAAACTGCTACGGATGCCTATATCTGACCCTGATTAAACAGATACATTCTTGCCTTTAAAGCATTTGTGTTGGAATGCACAATGAAAGTGGAGAGTCCTTCGGAATTGTTTTTAAAAATATAAACTATATGGAGACTTGAAGGGATCTGATGTGGCCAGTACAGTTTGTAATTGCTTAATTTCTATTCTGCTTCAACTTTATCCATGTGGTTTAGCGCTGCTGCTGCTGACTTCAACACTATATTTTCTTGCAGCTAAAGGCTGAATACTGGTTTGTCCTCAGATTATTTGGGAAAATCTGGAATAAATGGAGAGCACAATTTCTTTGTTTTTGTAAAAAAATGTTTCCACCTGGGTTTTTACACCAGTTTTACTTAGGAACAAATTCAGTATAGTTCTTGGGACTGGGTTCCATCCCAAATTTTTCTGCTGCTGTGAAAGTGATAGGGAAAAACAAAAACAAAAACGCAGCAAAGCAGAAGTAATATCCAGAAAACCACTTCCACAGGCACGTCACACAACATTCACAATCTGAACTGTGGAAACAATTGTGTAATCAAATTATACAGTGCTGGCTGCCTAGGTGTAATACCTGTCACACTTCTGCAGGTGTAACTTTTCACTAACTTGTACAGGGTTTTAGTCAGTATGTTAGTGATACCGTATTAAAACCTCAAGAAGCATGTTGCTCCTTCTAAAACTAACAGTAACATTAGCATGTTAGTGTCAAAAAACATTGTTCTAAGCTGTGATTCTGTAGCATTTTAAAACTGAGTCAATCAATATTGGTAATGGCAGTATAGAAATGACTAGGAAGGATCCTTGACCCATATTTGTAAACTAAAGTTAGGGATTCTTTCTGTAGCTGCTCACTACAGCTGATCTATGTGTAAAGAGGACTAAAATACTGGGTTGAAAACCTCTTTTAGAAACCTGGTTAGTACGTTGAGTGGCAGTACCAGTGGGAAGAATGCTTGAATCATGGAGCGGTATAGTAAGTATTTCTAGAGGTAATTTTGAAAGTGTAAATTTGAAACAGGAACGTTAAAAGGGAAAATAAAATGTACTTTAAGAACTTTTGAATTTTCCCACCAACCTAGTGGTTCGAAAGCATGCAAATGCAAGTAGATAAATAGGGACCACCTCGGTGGGAAGGTAACAGCGTTCTGTGTCTAAGTTGCACTGGCCATGTGACCACGGAAGATTGTCTTCGGACAAAACGCTGGCTCTATGGCTTGGTAACGGGGATGAGCACCACCTCCTAGAGTCAAACACGACTGGACAAAAATTTTACCTTTACTAAGAATTTAAATTCTTCTTGTTGTTTAGTCATTAAGGCATGTCCGACTCTTCATGACTCCATGGACAAGAGCATGCCAGACGCTCCTGTTTTCCAATGCCTCACGGACTTTGGTCAAAATTTAAATTCTACTTTATACTAAATTGTACTTTGTATCTATGTTCTGGGTCTGCTTCAGTCCTTTATATATAGGTGGTACTCATGATATTGAGATCAATATCCAAAAATATACTCCCACAAGGACAGCTTGTCTGAAAATGCAGATAGTTCATGAAGTCTCTGTTGGCTAGAAACAGCGGCTGATGTTTCACAATTAAATGGTGGCAATTATTTCTAAGTTATCTTGATAGCTCGGTGTGTTAGAACACTGGTTCTTAACCTTGGGTTACTCAGGAGTTTTGGACTGCAACTCCCAGAAGCCTTCACCACCAACTGTGCTGGCTGGGGTTTCTGGGAGTTGCAGTTCAAAAACATCTGAGTAACAAAGGTTAAGAACCACTGTGTTAGAGCACCTCACTGTGATGCTGAAGATGGGAGCTCAGCCCCACTATACCTCCTAGGAAAATGTCTGCTTGCGTGGCCTTGGACAAGCTGCCTGATCCCAAAGCCCCATTAGAAGGAGGAATTGGTGGAACACCTCTAGTTACTTGTTTAGGTTTTCCTAAGTCAAAATTGACTTGGCAGCACGTTATGATTGTTATTAATTGTTTATAAGTACTTGAGTCACAATGTAGCCAAACATAAACATTTTTAGATCTCCCTGATTTCAGTGGGAAAAAGAAGAATGTATGCTTTATGTTTCCATTACAATTAAGGAGCCGTAAAAGGCTTTAATGTTTATTATTTTTTTCATGGATTATTTTTTTAATAAAAACAAGTTACAGCTGCAAGGTTTTTTGGTTCTCTTTCTCTGATGCTCATTCCTAGCCAGAAATAAAAGTTTGTCTGCTTCTTTGTGCAGTCTTTGATGGCAATCACTGGGTCTGACTGCCTGCTGACTCCACAACATTGGCTGGCAGATGACCTACTGAGCAGACTTTGTCAAGTGCTTTGTACCAGTTGCAGAGATTAATCTTCTCTAGTGTCAGTGATGTACCAGTAATACTTGCCTAGACAATTTTAAAGAAGAACGGCATGAAAATAGATCTTTGGTCCAGGAAGACAGTACTTGTATGAGTGATAAACAAATAGTAACCAAATATTCTTAGATTTTGCTGTTTTCAGTTATAGAATACATGTAGAGTAGTCTCAGGAAAATAATGGTAAATGCCTTTTTGAACTAATTTGTGTTGTTTTTTTATGATGCAACTGATGATTCAAGGATTTCTAAATGTTGTATTATAGGATGTTTAATTTAGTGCAGGTTAAGGGTAGAATTGCTTAATTTCACAGGATGTGGTTACCATTTAAAAAGAAAGCCTATGTTTAAGTTGAAAGTAGAGGGACCTTAGGGGCAATTGGCATAATCTCTTGTCAACCCATTATAGTAATATTATTATAGCTTTTCACGTGGTATTTGGCATAGAACTACAGGTTTCAATTGAAATAGTGGTCTTTTATTCTTTTGAACTATGATCCTATCTTTCCCTTTTCTCTGTGAATAACATCATTTCAAATCACTGTAATTACTCATAAGGCAATATACATAATTATTGCTATGATAAATGAGAGCTAATGTTTAGCCTTATTAAATGAAATGTTCATGTTTCACCAGAAAAGTGAAATAAAATAAGATGTCCAGCCTTTTGGATTTTTCAGAATTATACTGCTTTGCTTCAGGTGCTGCTTTCTTTTCTCTGTCTCTTGTTGTGTACATGCACACACACAAAGTATTCTAGCTTAAATCCAATTGCTAGTCCCACCTAGAGAAGACCCATTGAATCAGCTACTAAAGTAAGTCAACACTAGTAAAAATCGCATTGATTCAAGGGGTCTGCTGTAGCTGGAGCTAGCAATTGAGCTCATGTCCCTATTTTTGGTCACGTTATTGATGATTAGCTCTGATGGGATCCTTGTGTTTCCATATAAGTACTGTAACTCTAATCTAGGTAAACTTTCCTGTGATGTTGAATTTGCAAGAAGCTGGTGTGTTTGTCACATACAGTGGCTGGTCATTAATACCAAATTCTCTTCCTGATGTTTGAGT